AGCTGTCCCAGCGAGCGACGCCGTGAAATAGTGTTGGCAGAGATGTTGGAGCGCTTCCCAAACACTATGGACCATCAGCCGAGTTATTGTAGTTGCCGAGCTGCGGGTATCTGGGTTACAACTGGTGGTTGCGCTGCATTGGGACGTGGGTTCGATTCCCGCAGCAAGTTTCGGTTTCCCACCAAATGTTCGTTTAGTTCGTTGGCAAGAGTGTTTGGGGCGACAAGAAGTGAGATTGCTGCGTAGAGAAGAGTAGCAAAGTAGAGAAGCCGTATGAGGGTGCCTGGGCTGGAGCAGCTGCTGTGTATGGATTTCGTATTAGTGATGTTACTGGGATGCTGCCACATGTGTCCCGTAGCTCTCCGATCCTGGCAAGAAGAGTGCGCAGCGGCTTTTGAACATATCCGCTTTGTTTTTTTGTATTTTGTTGCTTATTTGCAAAAACATTCATTTTTATGCGTTTTGTGCTGTGAAACAGCGGAACGAAATGCATTTTATCACGGGTTTGTCTGTGTATGTATCCGCAATAACTTGTCCACAACTTTCAACTCGGGGGTCACAAAAGCCAGGAAGCTAGAAATCTTGGGATATGCTCCCCACCTGTGTGTGACCCCACAAGTTTAAATTCTGTCCTCCCTTACCCGCGGGCAGCACACGTGGCCCCGTAAAAGTTTTGGCGGGCAAAAATTATTATCACAGGAACGACGGAAGTTAGAAGGCTGAAATTTTATGTGCATGCGGAATTCTGTGTGCCCTGATCCACGTGTGAATCTCCAAATTTAAATTCAGTACCCGCGGGTAACAAGCACGACGAGGAAAATTATTATTTCGGAAACCACAAAAGCTAGGGAGCCGAAATTTTGTGGATATGTCGTTTACCCGCGTACGACTCAGAAAACTTGGATTCAACCTTCCTGTGCCCACGGGTAACATATACGGCCTCATAAAAAAAAGTTTGGCTGAGGAAATTATTATCTTGGGAATCACAGAAGCCAGGAAGTTGAAATTTTAGGGTAATGACTCCCTGCCCACTTATGACCTCGCAAATTTAAATTCTGCCTTCCCGTGTATGCGGGTGTCATATTTGGACCCGTGAAAATTTTAACGGAGAAATTATTATCTCGAAAGCCACAGAATTTAAGAAGCTGAAATTTTAGGGTAATGACCTCTTGCCACGTACGACCTCGAAAATTCAAATTCAGCATAACGTGCTCTCGGATATCACTTACGACTTTGTGAAAGTTTCGGCGGAGAAAATTATTATCTCTAGAGCCAAGAAATTTGAGAATCTGAAATTTTAGCGTGACATCCCCTGCTCACGTACGACTTTACAAATTTTCATGG